ATGATTCTATGAATCTATGATTCTATGCTAGGAATTAAAACATCTAATGTTTTGCAATTAACATAGTAAACTGCAGCACCACCTTCTCAAGAAATGGAGCAAGTTCATTAGTTTTTCCCTAGTTCAGATTTTCATGAATATTTATTCAAAAAATAACTGGCACATCTAGTTATAAAACAATAACAGTTTCTAGCAGCTTATTATACCTTCAGCTCATGATGCACTCAAGGCTGAAAAGCTTTAAAAAATTAAATTTTTCTATGAGTTCTTGTGTAAGAACACATGTGTTTTGTTAAATTCTAAAAGGGAAAGATGAGACAACTGAGCCAATACTGGAGAATGAATGAAAAGTCAATGTGTATTTGGAAAAGCACCTGGAAGGTGACATCCATTTCCAAGACTTAATTGTTTAGACTCTGCCAGTGAAAGACATCCAGCGTTCCTTTGTCTCTTCTCAAGCGAAGAGCAGGATGAAAGCACTTCTTCATATTGGGGAAAGAAAAAAAAGATACAGGGAGAATTTCTATCATAATTATTGAGGTACTGTCACAACTTTCTTATTCCACACTACCGCTTTTTTCCGGAAAGAGTCTGTTATGTGATACAAAGGACATGTGACTGTGCTTTGATATGATCACTTTACTTTCGTTCCTTCTCTTTTGACTGTCTCCCCTAGCATGACAAAAAACTCATACAAGTTCAAAACGTGAGGTAACTGTAAAATGCAGATACAGCTGCAAAACACAAACCTAGTTACAAGCATTAAAAAAAATCCACCAGTAATACAGAACAAATCAGGTAGACCAAATGAAATTACCCTGCCAAGCAGCTAGTAGTTGGGATAACTTGGATATCTCTAGCCACAGAGATAATGAAACAAGATCTCCTACATTACGACTGAAACATAGCACCCTCCAGCCAATTGCAAGGACACTTCTTAAGGACTGAATCCCACCTTGTAGTAGGTATAACCTGTAACTCCACAATTTACTCAATGCTCTTTCTCTGGTGAAGAAACCAGACAGATAGTGAGTTTGCCAAAGCCTTTTTTTAATCTTACATTCAATCAACACATTTTCCTCATAAACAATGAATAAAAAACACAGATGAAAGAGGTTGTAGAAAATGCAAAATAATATAGCAATTATTACTACTTGAGATACGCTTTTGAAAGCTAAAAACATGACCTCATATGTACATACAAAGAAAGTTTTATTTAATTAGCTCCCAGTAATAGAAATGAAGTATTTGTTAGACAAGTTCCCAGAAATGCTGATATCTCATTTCCTTTAAGAAGTATCATTCATTTGTCTATATGAGTATGCTTTTAAATTAACTCTCCTGTGGCTCCTGTTGCTGGGAGTGTGGGCTATGGTGCTCCAGGATGTCACCACTACAGCAGGTATTAAGCAAAGAACAGTTTTTTCCTGCCCAGCTAGCTCAGTTGGTAGAGTATGAGACTCTCAATCTCATGGTTGTGGGTTCAAGCCCCCACACTGGGAGCCAAAAAGGACTGTTGTGGTTTAACCCCAGCTGGCAACTAAATATCACACAGCCACTCACATGTATAGTCAAATTCTAAAATCCATTCCTCATATGCATAGTTAAAACTCTCATTAGCTGCTGCCAGATTCAATCCTTCCTAGTGAAAAGAAAGAAAGAAAAGCAAGCCTTTAGTTTGGAGAGCAAAATCAGGGACAAGGAAATCCTGCAAACTCTATTGTAAATATTTTAAAAATTTAATTATATCCTTTCAAATTATAACATGCTTCACTTTAACTTACTGTACTTAGGTGGAAAGAAATACTGTAATGCTCAATATTGCCATTAAAATAAGTTCTCCTTTCCTGATTTAAGAATAGTAGCCAAGAATTGCAAATGCTCATCCCCATGTTCCTTTCCTCCATCCTGATAAGGCTGAAGCACATGTTTAGCTTCACTAACAGGCCTGGTGCCATTTAAGTCAATGGGACTACCCATAGTGTGTACCCATTCAATAAGCCAAACATCAAACCAGCTGGCCTTTTCTCAATGTGTCCAGCAACTCCCATTCCTATCAACTACCAGATATTTTAAGCGTAATGTTTCAAATTCAGAGGTAACCGTTTAAATGCTAGGAACTTATTTATTTTTTTTAAAAGCAAAATTAATTTTAAATTGTTTTAATAGAATGAAGACTGGCAGCACAAGGCCAGTACTGGATGTTTCTTATTTTGACAGGAATCCTGCAATACCATTCTTAATTTTCTTTGCTTTGTTTGGCTACAGTAACTTCCTATTTTTCACAGAACCAATTTTCACCGTTCCTTTTTCTTTTGGTACTATTCTTGTTTGTAATGATGTTCTACTCCAACTCTAAATTCAGACATCGGATTTAGGGAAGCCATCTGCACATCCTCCTACAAGTAGTTACTTGTTGCTCTTGCAACAAATTAAGACCTAACACTTACTCAGTATCTCAGGCCTGTATGTCAAAAATTTCGTTACTACCACAGTTTCTTCTATAGATGCAGATATACTATTAGACATTAGCTTATTCCAGTAAGGGATGGGCAATGCTTTAAGAACTGCCCTCCTAAGTGACAGAAGGCCTACATAGCATAGCAGTCTGTCTCTGACAGTAACCACTAACAGAAAGAGCCAAAGAAGTTACACAGGTTATACGTGGTGACTTCTGACAGAGAAGGTCCCATCTGGACTAGCACAGGTCGTAGCTTTCAATGCATCAATTTTCCACAAACATATCTAATTCCTACTTGGAACAATCTGTGTTTCTGGCCTCCAATGTCCAAAGGCAGCAGTTTACATCATGTCCATAGAAAGACATAGCCTTTTGACTATTCCAAACTTACTTTATACCAGCTAGCCACTTTCATATGCCCAGAAGAACAGGAAAAGCAAGTCTAAAGCATCACCACCTTACCTGGTATAGCTGAGACAGCAGAAGCTTTTAATATAGCTTTGGATACATGATCTGTACCCACATTCAAAGTAGCTGGTCTACTTTTTGGTGTAAATGCACTAGAACATCACTCTGAGTTTGAAACAGCTGCATTCAATTATGCCAATACAATTAGCTATTAATTTATGCTAATATGTAACATATATGTAAGCAAATCTTTACTGTACATTTTGAAGCTTTGACAAGCCTTTAGTGTGGCACAGTTATAACAGTGCAAGCAACTTTGAGCATACCCTTAGTGAGGCTGGTACCCCACCATATAATCCTTCCCTTAGCTCAAATAGTCACATCAGCACAAGCAAATCCAAACATAGGTATAAGGTCTGGATTGCCTCACTCTACTTTTAATTCCCAGTTCTGAACAGCATAATGAAATGTGAAGCTCTCTGGTGCAGTCAAATAAACAAATAATCATTCAGGGAGATAGATAATCATTAGCAATGATCTGTCCTAAGCTCCTAAAGTAGAAGTAGCTTCTAGCAGATGTTTCTCTCTTTCTGTCTTTCCGGTCTATCACTCAATAGAAAGAGGGAAGGAGGGGGGGGAAATAAAAAAAAAACAAAACAAACCAACGCCCCCACCAAAAAAAAATAGAGGGAGAAAAAACAAGGGCGGGGGGGAAACCAAACAAGGGTGAATATAAGGTTTGCCTAAGCAAGGATATATCAGGGCAAAAAATAAGTACAGAGGAAATTCTACACTTTAATTACCACACACTACTAAGCTAAAGAAAAGCTTCAAAGAAACGCAGAAACATTTTGGCAGTCAGTCAAAAATATCTAAGACTTACAAAAGCCAGCTGAATCTTGCTAGGATATTTTTCTCCCCTTCTGAGACACTTTACCCCTCAGAACTCACACTGACTGATTAACCCCCAACATCATTGCCATGCTTCCTCTTTTATATGCAGAAAGGAAACAACCTGATGTCCTACCACACACCGTATCCTGAGCTGGAAGTCAGGAAGTAAAACTTCTGCAGACAGTTCCGTTTTAATTGGATACAGTCATGCTATCCAAAAAAGAAGAAATTTGCTACAGATTAGCCATTTTTCTCGTGCATTAATACTCAAAGAAAAATAATTGCATTTTGCAGTCATTCACACTGTTATTTTTGGGTTTTTCCCAGCTTGGAGACTTGTCCAAAGAATTACAGTCCAACTACAGCATATCAAGTCAATCCTAACAAGCACTGAGAGGAAGACAGGAGTGGACAGCCCCTCATTCCCATATCAAAGTGTTTTATGCTTAGACTACTACAAAAACCCATAGGGAGTTCAGAGAGAAAGCCCAGCATGGCTGTTGGAGAAAGGCCATTTCCTACTCATGTAGTGACAATAGAAGACAAGCTGTTGTGGGGATTCACTGGTTGCAGACAAAAGCTGAATAACTGCTGACAAAAGTATCTTCTCTGATGATCAGAAAACTGTTTCTAAAAGACATTACCTCATCTTCACAATCATATCAGGTGGCAGGAATTCTCAAAGAGCATGCTCTGAATTTACTCTAAATAGATACTGAGGCATGTCCTGAAGAGCATTACTTTCCATTTGCAATCTGCCCACACTGTTATTATTAAACTCTACCAAAAAAGTACCACTGAAGTTCCAACAAAATCATTTTAGCTATGTTATGAGCAGTGTGTCTTAGAAGTTTGTCATCTAACACAGGAACTAGGTCACAGCAACAGCTCGTCTGAGCCCATATCTAGTCCAACACAGGTCACTAGTGGCTGTTTAGTGAAAGAAATGAAAGAAATAGCAAACGTAGAATAACACTTTTTCCAGTATACCTCTACCTTTTCCTTACAGTAATATGTGGTCTTTCTTATAAACTTTCCTGAGCCAGAAGTTAAATCACCTTCATGCTATAAAGTAGGTCCTATTTATGTTAGAATTATACCAGGCACAGAAGGCTCCTTAGACCCCTGATGGCCTGTAGCAAGTTCTGATAGATCTTAACTGGGTTAGCATCTCCTGCTCATACGGCACAGATGCGCTGCCAAGGTCAATACAAGCACCTCAGCGGTATGTTGTGCAGGCACAGTAGTTCACTCACATGACATCAACCATAAAATTAGGACCACAGTTTCTTCCCTTGTTTAACCTAAGATTTTTATTCCCACTATTAACAGAAGATGTTATGGATGCAGTTCTTAATTGTGTCATGGTTTGGCTGAGAGACAGCTTTGCTGTGAACAGATCACCTAATTTTAGTTAGTTATGCATGGGTCCCACACACTATGTCTGACAGTGCAGGGTCAGAGTTTCCCCCCTGCATACCCTCTAATCTGCTCTCAAAACTTGGCAGTCTATGTACACATGTGCTAAAACTACAATAAGCTGCTCATTGTCAGTGAAGGGACAGCACAGCCAGCAGCCATGTAGGTGGTCATTATGAGAGTAAAACATAACCTCTTTAACTCTGAAGAGGAAAATGCATCCAGACACCATTTTCCAACTTAGCAGATAATTTTAGAAATACAAAAGAACATTCACAGCAGAGATATTTGCTTTAGCACTGCTCCTGTATAACTAAGGAACAATTTCGGTTCATAAAGAATGATTAAAGCACCAATTATTTTGACTAAACATGTATGTGAAACCCTCAGGCTGCCATGGACTTTAAAGCCATTAATTCATTATTTAGCTGTCAGTGTGGAAAAATGTCACAAGCTTAAAGTTTTAACAAATACTTTGCAATATTAAAGCAAATGGTCACGTTTGAAATTTCAAACTGTTACATGATTTTATTTATTAGATAGTGTAGATTACCTTTTGTACACATATTGCTTACAATGTATTCTAGAACAATTTTGTATTGAACAGAATCTAATCGTATTTTAAGCTTAAATTTAAACAAAGAAAGAGAGAAAAGACCCCCTCAAGAGCTTCTGGGAAATCATTTACAAAAATCTTTAAGGCTCAGGTGAAACAAGTTGTGCTGTGGGATTTGAAAGATCTGTGGAAGTGTAAGCTATAAAATCACTTCATCTTGGATGCTTAGAAAGGTGGTTTGGGAAAGAAACTCCACTTTTTCAATGCCTCAGTGATATATGGCACTGACACTAATGGCCATAAAACCTTATTAGGGAGTGCTGTGAAACTCAAATATATGAGTTTCTTATGTGGAAAGATTTGAGTATTCACATTACAGTGGAAAAGAGGACATGTCCACATTCATCTCTGGAAAGTGGATTGATTCTGGCAATCTATTCGGGTATATACAAATATCTTAGCTCTCCAGGACTGTGACAGAGACAAGCAAATGGCATAGCACTCACTCCTAAAGCTCTGGCAAGCTTTTCTGATGATTTGATACAAAACTTAACGTCCAGTGAATCTCAGTTGTGTGGCCTTTAAAATAAAACAATGTCACAAACGAAGGTTTTGGTACTGCAAACTTCAGCACTGAAGCAAGAACAGCAAACTATTTACATATCAGGTTAATTTTAGAATTAAGCTCCGCATTGAGTATGTAAAGCTAAGCACTGGCTGCAAATTAGCAGACACAACACTTCAGCAGAACTGAACTTAAGAAGG